GAAGAAATTTCCGAGTAAAAAGATAGTCACAAAGTTATGATCTTTTGCGTTACGTCATGCACACTCTGTATTCCTTCTTGAAAAATGTATAAAAAAAAACATTTAATGAAAAAACAAAAGACTGTAACGAGGTAAGCATCATGGCTAGGTTTGAAAGAATGCAGAATGGCATCGCGGAAAACAACGAAGTACGAATAACGTCGAGTAGAATAACGGAAATGTGTGACCAATGGTCTGAAGAAGAACGAACAACTTCGCGGAAAATAACGAAATGAGAATAACGTGTCGACCAGATGAGATGGTGACGATAAATAGGTCCAAGGAACTATGTTTGATGCGTAGCCGCATTCCTACTTCCTTCAGCTCGTATTACAAGGCACATGCGCTAATTAAATAAATCCAGTAGATTCAGGCCTGGAAAGATCTGTATCTCTTTAGAGAAGTGCAACCTAGTCATCGATCCGGTCAGACAGGTAGGGGAGACCTGTCGTCGGTCTGACCAGCAACCCTAAACGGGCTAAAGGCGGCAAAGGACGGCACCTGTGCGGTGAGCGTAACTTGGCTGATAGCTGGTCTGGTCGGTTCGAGATTCCGAAACCCAACTAATATTTTCATATGCATCATTGCTCTGAGAGCTTGGGTATTGTGGGCTACCAACGCTCTGTAACAGCGCTACTTTGGTGTATATTGGGGCTTTATGGGGAATTTCGGTAATTTGCTAGGTGCGGCCGCTCGCTATTCACGTAACCTGCTCTTGTGCATGCAGTGTAGTAGTGGTTCTCTGCGCGTTTGTGGCACTTTGGGTTTATGGGAATCACTGTTGGCTTGAGTATTTGTTAGGGTTTGCAGGATCTTTCGAGCTAATGTTTGAATTTGATTTTGATTTTGAAGGGATTTTTGAGCTATGGAGGCATTGATAAAAAATACTGTCTAATCGCAGAACTAGAGGTGTGAGGGCGATTCATTGAATCCGCACTGACTCTTGGCTTGAGCGCCGAAAAATCTTTTGGCTTGAAGATCGTCTATTTTCATAGACGTTGAGTTGCTTCTAGAACTAGTCTCGATATCGGGGACTTGAAAGGATTTGTTGGGATTTTAGTTGGATTATTATATCACGTGTTTTGGCGAGTTCTAACTGTATGGCTGTGAGAAAATTCGCATTCTGTCCCTCTGAGGATTGGCATCGGGATTCGAAACGGTCTTTTTGACTTTCGAGACTGAGACGTCATCAGCGAGCCTATCCTTAGTATTACTAATGTAAGAATCTGCTACTTATAGCTCGTAGATACGGACGTCGAGAATCCTTAGCACAGAAATGGCTTAGAAAGTATTAATAAGAGGGATCTCATCTATGTCAGAGACAATACAGGGTGTCCCACCGGGAACCAAATCGATCTATATATATATGAAAAACTCTATGCAAAAATGTTTTGAAAATTTGACTGTATACCCTATGTCAATAGGGGACTTAGTTAAAATATTTTCAAGATGGTGGTACTTCCGGTTATACCGGAAGTGGACGTCAACTTGCTTATTTCAAATAAGACACCCTGTATGTGATTTCATGTTTGGATTCTACCGGAAATTCTGATCAGATTTCATGTGATATACTCTATACCTAAGTTCAACTGTTTTGGAAATATTCACAGTTGAAAATTGACCTTTTTGCAACCTTGACAGGCTGTAAAACCTAAACGGTTAATTTTAGAAGAAAACCGTTCTTACATCCTCGTCTTCGATTTTCATGAACTATCGTTTGACACAAACTTTGAATTTAACCGGAAATTACAACTAACCGGAATTTTTGATCATGGATCGATTTCTCGCACCGCTGCGCTACAAATAGGCGGAACTCAAGTTCAACGAGGTCGCCCGAATGCGCATGGCGGGTTATAGCACCTTCAAGATTCTACTTTAACAATGGGGTGTTTATATAAGAACCAATTGACTGAATTGGCACTAATAAGTTGGGTAGGAGGAATAGGCTCGTTCAGCGAAATTTCATTCACGGGATTTCACATTTTTATGGAGTATTACTCACATATAAAACAAAAAAAAATTTAGCTTAATTGAATAAATATTGAAAAAGTTACGCGTTTTTTAATATTAAAACAGTTATGCCTCGGAAATTCATTGCTGTGACGTCATAGCATCTCTCGAGTCGAGACAGGCTAAAAGCCGTCACACACGGTTTTGCATAACGCAATGTCAACTGATTTTCTACTGACAGTTTGGCACACAGTTTGCGGAACTACACGATATTTATAATTTTTCCTTTCGCATGCTACTTCCATAATTGTGCTCATAAAATATTGAAACTCATGGAATTATTCAAATATACGAAATATGATTCGAAAGAAAAGCATCCAGTTCTACCAGATACATAAAATGCCAAACTGAAACTTGTCTAAACGATGCCAAACCAAAACTTACCAAAACAATGACCGTATTGTCGAAGTGACTGGCGTACCAGCGCCACGACGACCAACGTGAGAGATGCAGTGACGTCACCGCGTGTTTCAAATTTGGAGTATTTTGATAAATTATTTAAATATGAACAAGGGCTCAGAAAACTATGAAATTATGCATAACTGCTAAACTCAACATGCTCTTTTAGAATATGTAATAAAAAGAATATGCTGTACAAGCCTATTGAATGGCTGGATGGAAAACTTAGTAACTTCGTTACAAAACAAATAAAGATGAATGTTAACGTACCAATTTATTGCAGACTTTTCAAACACGAACCTGTTAAACACATTTTAGCGTTCTGTAAGACACGGATGGAAAGCATGAGGTATTCGCGTACAATTTAACACAGACCCAAAGATACTCAATAAATATTCATTGAACATCTGTTCTACCTTGTGCAGGAAGCAGCCTTCATAGGCTGCAGTGGGAGATTCGGACTCAATAAGTGGAATAGGCCTAGAGAAAGTCTGAATGTTAAAACAGAATCAAATTCACTATCCTATTCTATTACTATTTTATAGTTTGGTTACAAGTTTTATTATTTGCTCAATTTGCATTTCTATGTATATTCGCTGTAGCACCGAGATATCAGTCGAGCTTTTTAGGTAAAATAGTCGCGTGGTATTCTGATGCTGGGAATAGCTAAAACTGATTAAACTCATAATAGCGTACAAATAGGAGATACTAAATTCAAAAACTTGTCAGGATTTGGCGGATTCACTAAATTCAGATATTCAACGAGCTAGAATTTGGCCAAGGGACACCGTTTATTTACGGGCTTTATTTGGACTTTTGGCAAATGTCCGAAATAAGCCGAGCTTACCCAGCTAGTTGTTTTGCTAACCGACATGTAGATAGAGTTGATTTATGGATGTTAGATATCGTTTGATGGAAACGTATGAGTTTTCGATTTTTTTTTGTTTGGTAAAATTTGTAACCAAATATTAGGTACTGAGCTTATTAACTTTATTTTATTTACTGTTGTTTATTATTTATCAAATAATAGTTCAGGCGTTCATTAATTGTACTTCTAAACGTTCAATAAATAAAATAAAGTACCTACTTATATTATAATCATAAATCCTCTCGCCTCGCCTCTTTTTTATTTAATATTAAATTTTAAAATTTATAAATGTAAATCCTATTTTTAAAAAGTATCGGTGATCTAATGAAGCGTTTATCAACTTTTCAACTTATTACTTTTCAGTAGATTATTCAAGTTTACTAAGCAAATACCTGAACGCTTATAAAATTTCAAAATAAAATAAAATGCTTCTCTGTAATTCCATATAACATACCTACTATTTAATCTGGGCAACAAAATTATGCATACAAATTATGAAGCTTTTTATATAAACAACAAGACATTAGGATTATCCAGTATCCGTTTCATCCCTTATCGCAAGCATCCCTCAGAAAAGCATTAACAAAGGATTTTACATATCTTAATTTGACGTAGACCAAACAGATGGGAAGTTTCAGTATAATACGAGCCCGGCACATATAAATCATTACGTGGAGAATCAGATTCGTAAAGCATGTACTAAATATTAATATTAATTACATATCGACAAGTTACTGAAAAATATATTATATTACCATTTAATAAAAGCATAATAATTACCTGTCTTTATTATTCACTCTTTTTAGAAACTTCCTCATAAGACTAACTGGTCAGTTTTACACTGAAGTTTTCTTTTGTGAATATGCAATTTAATTTTAAAAGTGTAATTATTTTCTAAAACTACGCTATCATGACCACAAGCAACCATTTATTGATTGGCGAGTCAGCGATAAACGGATATAATGTCAATGAGCCTTTTACGCTCTCCGCTATTGTCGCTCAAGTAGCCGCCCTGAGGGTAACAGGAGAGAAACGGTAACAGGAAAGACCAGAATAGTTTTAAATAAATATGTATATTTATTTAAGATACATCAAAATAATTACTAAATTGGGATCATTCTCTGCCAGTACATCCCCCATGTGTACTACAGTTTATTAGTTTTCACTCCCAATGAATGTGCTTTGTTGGTTGGTTTCAATTATTTGTTGTAACCCGTGATTCAGTTTACTAAAATCGGATTGATTGTAGCCCGTGGCCCAATGTACTGAATTCGGTTTGACACACGCCACTTGATGAAAGCATCAGCCCCACAATGCCCGAAGAAATGTATCTGGCTCACATAACAAACTCAAAACAACAAATAATTCAAATTCAACACATTCTTTTTTGAGCGTAGCTGGTTCCCTGTGCATGTTCCGTCCCCCCTGGTCTCAAGTACCTACTTGATCCAGTGCCTGAGTTTGCCCATTTTGACGGTTGGTAGCTCAGGTCGTTCTGGTTCTGTTACAACTTGTCTGTCTTAGGCTAGTGGTTGGTCTGTTCTGGCATTGGTCCTCTGTAGTAGATCCAACGTGTTGTTCTAGGCTTGTGATTTGCCTAGGTTGTTCTTGCAATGGCTCTCTGTAGTGGATCAAGTTTCTTTTTAGGCAAGTGATTGGTTTTCTTCAATTGTTTAGCAGTGGTCTATGTTAAAGTATCTTGGCTAGTAGTTTGATTTGTAATGTCTCTGGTATTAGGTTGTCGGCTGGTAGCTTGTTTAGTTGCTGTGGAAGCTTTGCTTTTTGTAGCGCTCGTAGCTTCTTTCGTGGCGGTGGTTGATCTCGGACGCCTCTGCCTTGGAAGTGGTTTGCAATGTCTGTAATAATTTGCTGAGTACAATTTTTGCCTATTCTATGAAATTTCTTATAGGCGATAGTGACGAATGTCACGTAACTACACCAGTCAGTCGGCTGTGTGTTACAGTAAACTGTCAGCATACCGGCAAAGTTCTGTCACTAACTTAGACTAAAAAACCTTTCCTCTATCACTCAACAGAGTGTTTTTGGGGCTCCATATATCAATATAATTTTTGCCAAAATAAATTTTGCCCAGGGCTACCTTCCCATTTGGCAGTGCTGCCGTAATTGCGTAGCGTGACGCATAATCTGTGGATGGACCGAGCAATTCTATTCCTACTTTAATTGGTTGCAGGGGCCCAGGAGGTTTCCTGTGAGGCTGTCCCTTGCTTGACAATCTATAGACTCTTTGACGTACTTTTCAATATCCTTCAACTGTCCTCCAATTGTCCAACGTTTTGCTGAGACCTAGATAACCACAGGCTGGTGATGCATGTAATTCAAATATAATTTCTTCTCTCATTGATTTAGGCACTACCAGCACATTGTCTAGGCCCTTATAAGTTTTATTCACTTTGTAAAATAAATCCTCTTCGGCTCTGAAATTTGTTTCTCTCAATGAGTAAATAAGTAGCTCTACTCCCCAACTGGGATTTTATTTCTAGATGGTTGTGCTAGTACCAGCCCTGCACTGCGATATAAGCGTTAGAGCCCGTACTGTAGGTCAGGCCTGAACACGTCGAGAGATATCCGCTCGAACAAAAAGTACCTACTATAGGTAGACTCGATCAGATAAACCCAGACTCGAGCCGTGCCTCGCAGCCACTGAAACAGCGATGTGGGTAGTGGTTTGGTTGATGTGTGGTAGCACGTTTGGTTTGCCATACTGCGGCTTTCATATTGAACATTTGTTGACTCTAACTAGGTAAATTAGTGTGAATGTGGTCTGTTGCTTAGTTCAATTATTTATTGTAACCTGTGGTTCAGTATACTGAAATCGGGTTGATTGTAGCCTGTGGCCCAATGTATTGAAATCGGTTGTCAATAAATAGTGGCTGACGACACACAGATAGACAGACTCGTACCAGCGCAACTTACTCTTTCGAGAAAGCTCCTCTAGACGAACATTATTACGTGAGCGAATCGTAAAGAAAATAGCTTTGCTTCCTTCAGATAGGTCCTCCGACCCCGCATAGAAGAGACACTAGGATGCATAGGGCCATCCTTTGGTAATTGTAATCCATGCTACACCATATACCTTGATTAAGTACCGAGCGAGTCTCTATTCATCTGACCCTTTGCGCGCCCCGTCACGACAAAGTATAATTTGTGACACTTTGTTTTTTTTTACGTATTTCATAAAATTATTTATAATAAAATACGTGTATTGGATCTTACGCTATGCCAGTGCATCATGTTAGACGCATTGGTGTACGATTCTCATTGGCAGTGGATATGTCAGCACGCACTACACAGACAAGGGAATCAATTTTGAGTGATTGGGCCACCATAGCTTTTCCAATTTTATTGAGCCAAAATATACAATAGCAACCGAAAGTTAATTTAATCTCCAAGACAGCAAATTGGTTCATATTTAAAACAGATAAAAAAATAAACTTGGAAGGCGAGTTGTTTGCAAAATAGCATGTGATGCAAGCAAGGAAATAATGGAACCAACTTGTTTATAATATCCAAGCTTTACTTTAGTTGAGTTTAATACTATTAAAATAGTTTATGGGAGCTTAAAACTTATTAGTTTTCTAGTCGGTTTAATTCCCGTTGGAACCAAAGAATTTCTTTAGGAAAGAATATTAAATTTCTAAATCTTCTTTCTGCAAAATCCCTAATTTTAATAGGGTTTTTACTACTTTCTCTGGAGTTCTGGTTTAAAACTTTTTCTTATTTTTAGAGTTTATTCGTAGAATTGAACCTTTCAATTTCAAATGTTCAATTATTATTTTGTTACGTAAGCGCGTTCGTAGATAAGTGAGGGGCTTAAGGGCTATGTCCGTTATTGCAAGCTCTGGGGAGCTGAGCATATTCTGCACAGGGGCTCGCTGTTCAACAAGTACGAAACGCGGCTTCAAGGGCTATTTTGTGTTTTTTGAAGCCCCACAGGGCTGAGACTGGTACCTTGGGAGTGATCTCTGGGGATCTCTAAGCAATATTGCCAGATTGTGTTGATTGAAAGTAATACAACATTGGAATAGTTACAAATGGTTGATACATTTTACTTTGGTGTCTGTGAGATATAAGAAGGTGGCATAGTGGGTGGCCCAGTTGGTAGTTGCGGGCTTAATGGTCAGGCCAAGGCTAGATCTGACTCACCGGATCTGAGTGACATAGGTACTTACAGCTTTCTCCAATGCAGCAGCCGATGGAGGTCTCCTTATTGGATACAGGTCTGATATAGTACCTCAAGTTTTAAGTTTAATTTCTTCACGTCAGCGGTCCAATCCATAGTTTGCAGTTTAAAGTCAAAGCAAGGATTTATCAAGCCAAGTAGCTTGAATTTTTTCTTAAATACTTGACTTCACTTGAAAACTCAAGCCTTTGGTAATTTGATATTTGACTTGACTTGATTTCCGGTCTGAACCACTTGACTTGATATCAAGAAAAATCAAACTACTTGATATTACTTGATAGCGATCTGTGAAATGCGGATCGAAGCGTTAAAATAGGGGATTCACCGAGGGTACACCCAAGCCCGTCCCTTACACTTAATAACCATACCCATCACATACTCCTATAACTCCTAGTTCTATAAACTAAAAGTAATTGAAATACATGATAACAGTGGCGGCTATAGGATTTGGTCTTGGGGGGGCGGGCATATTATTTCATTTATTACTTAACTGAGTTTTTTAGAGTTTTTGTTTTTATATGTTTTTTAAATAAAATATTACATCTACAGTGTGTCTATAAATGTGGACACCCTGTACACCAGTACAGCCGCAGAAATAAAATTATGAGCCAAATAAGTGCCAAATTCGAGTAGATATAAGAAAGAAAAAATTAATGGAATCGGTTGAAAAATAAAAATTTTAGAAGGGTGGTCAGTCCTTAAGCGAGACACACTATATATAAGGTAGGAATGGGTAATATGCCCATGCTAAGAGCTATCTTTGTTATTTTGGAAAAAAATAAACACATTATTGTAATTTTTGCTCAAATGTACTTGTTTTTACATAAGAAACCGTTTTTAAGATGGTATATGACCAATAATTAATTATTTCGCTTAATTAATATTTTTTTTTTAATTGGCCCTACTGGGCGTATTATCTACCTATGTTGATAAAACGCCCACCATATGTAGGTAATATGCCCAATGCATGTGAGTATGTAGTATAAAATAAATTATATATTTTAAGTGTAAATTTAAGAAATAATTTCACACAGTTTGGATTTTGTTGAGAAAATACTTATATTTTTTTATTGAAAAAGGATATAGGTATATAATACATATATATTATTCTTAAGTATATACTTATATTATATTTAAATATCACAATCTGGGCATAAAAAAAAATAGTTTTATCAGACCGACGCATTCCTCATGCACGTACACTAAACATGCCGAGCACAGTCTTTTTTTATATCTTCCTCGCAGACTTTGCAGTACCAGCTTTCAGCTGATGCTTTTGGATTTTGTTTTATCTTACTTTTGATTTTCAAACATGTTTTGCTTACTTGTTTTTCAGTAGTTTTCTTCTTTGAATTAGTGTTTTTTTCATGAAAAACCGCCTGTTTTACAACAAGTGCCCTACTGTTGATTGCTTTTCTTGATGTTTGTGTTTTCTTATTGTCATCTTTATATGGAGTTTCCAACATCTCGTGAAAACTTGGTAGTAGTCATACTAGGAGAGTTCTAGACCGGAAGTGGCCCCATTCTCGTTCTGGGGCCCGCGCCCGTCATCAGAGAAGCCCCAAATTGAAGGGGCCTCCACCAGGTGGGCCTGTGCCCCATTCCAGGGCCCCATTTTTTCGGTGGGCCCCATTTTTCGTCAAGTGAAGGGGCCTAACCCAAGTGACGTCATCAAAGGGGCCACATGCTTGTCCCAGCAGCTAGACCCGTGGCCCCATTTTTTCGTGGGCCCCATTTTTTGGCAAGCCCCAATTTAAAGAGGCCTAACCTAAGTAGCAAGCCCCCAATTTGAATAGACCTAACCCAATAAGTGACGTCATCAAAGGGGCCATACGTGCTTGTCCCCGCTGCTAGACCCGTGACCCCATTTTTTTTTTTTTCGGGGGCCTCATTTACATGAACTCATAACCTGAAATGAGATACCCCATACGAGATGACAGGTACGTGCGACGTTGCCGGAACTGATAATGTGCGACGTTGCCAATAAAATTTCCCTAAATCTAGGGAAAAATCGGAAAGGGGCCACTTGTCTCCGCAGCTAGACCCGCGGCCCCATTATCCATCATCATCGTATATGAAACCAATACAGGCCCCCAAATTTTGAGGCGCACGCAGCCTAGAACTCATAACCTGAAATTTGATGTCCCATATCTCGTGCTGGTAATTTGAAATTTGTACAACGTACCTAGAACTCATAACCTGAAATTTGATACCGCGTATCTCGTACCTGGTACCTCGTACCTGGTACCTCGTACCTGGTACCTCGTACCAAGATACGCCGTACTGGGCCCCCTTTTTTCGTCGTCGTCGGCCCCATTTTTCTAAACTAAAAATATGGTCACATAAAAGACAACATCATCATCATCATCATCATTGAAAAAATAGTGCTCCAATTTGGGCCCCATTTTTCACGGACTTGTAACGATTTAATTGGGGGGCCCCAAATATTATTTTTAAAATAATTATAATTTCTACCGTTCTCATAAACAAACAACAAGAAGAACAGCAACTTGTGTGCGAACTTGCTTATCACACGGAAGCCGCATTTCCTGCGACGATAACGAAACGCAGCTGGCTGGCCTGCTAGTTGTTGTTATTCATTTTCAAATTTTAGTTAGATTTTAACGTCC